ACCACATGATCAATGAACATAGTATACATTTATATACTGTTGAGCTTGCCGCGCTGTCTTCTGTGTCCACTTCTGTCGGGAACAATGCCAAAAACTAGCTGGTTCATAGCCGACTCGAAGACACCCGCGGACGACGATGGCCTAATGACCCCCAAACGTTGTGTCCACCATCATTTACCTTGCACCGTCCAAGGCGGCTCCTCATTCTACACATTCCAAACATGTCTCTAAGCAGAAAAGTGAGCCTAAGGGAAGCAAGATTTGTTTTTTCCCGCCCTAATTATAAATGGGCATCTGCCATGACCACGGGACAAGTACTTTCGCACATAACGGCTATTTCTTGTTTTGTATCAGTGCTCGGGTGGAAAACGTGTGTTTCACCACCCATAGCCCTGCTACGCTGGAAGCCCTGCTGATTTGGTTCTCTAATGTCAGGCACCTTTCCTTGTGCAGAATCTGACACGCATTCGTTGGCGCGCCATTGCGACAACAAACAATGAAAGGAAGAGACCAAAAGCACTATATATATATGCATCTACGGTATATTATATAAATAGCTGAAGAACGATGGACATTTCAAGAACATTGGATTTCAAGAGTCTGGACACAGATCATTAACATAACCAACGTTATCGTTTTTTTCCTCTCATCGTTCTTTAGAGTGAAACCTAAAAATGGCTCATGGGGGATCATGGAAGACTAAACAAATAGATGCGGGGTTTTTACAAACTTCCATATGGGGTATGGGTCAAATTTAGGTACCCCCAAGAATGAATGGTTAATATTATATTATATATACGAAAATCTGTGGTCCCGTAGGGCTTAAATTTTGTCCCAGACCCATATAATATCATATAATTACTATTGTATCCTGGCATCTTGAGATCCCGGCGCGTTCTGACCTGGGCTGGCTTTGTTTTTTTATTTGGGGGTACATGATAATTTCAAAAAACGTTATTGGGATGAAACTGTCAGGTGGAACTGTAAGTAACATTCAACTAGAATTTTAACCATCATTATCATTGGATTTGAAGTTTGGCTGTGATGTTGGCCCATCAATAGGCAAACAAACCATAACAAACCATAACAAACCCATGTACCAATGGATCCACAACTGGCACCGTAACACCAGTTGGGGGGACTTACCATCATGCAGGTTATTAGTTATTAGCGACTTCGTGCATGGTATAGTGGTCCATGAAGGGAGGAGGGAAACATTGAGGCCACTTGCATGGGTTTGAGCCACCTGTTGCATTCATATCCGACTATCCTGTGCAGATAAAGTTCACACCACAATTTTCATCCCATATCCCCACATCATTATATGAAGAGGTTCCTCCTTGCAAAATTTGCAAAGGTCACCATATCAAATAATCATCAATGGTGATCTTCCCCATCAAACTTGGGACTTAATCATCAACAATGGGGTTTAATCATCAAAACAGGGGACTTAACGATCAAATATGGTGACTTAACCAACCAAAAATTGTGGTATAATCGGGATACAATGGGAATATGATGGGATAATCTGGGCAAATTATAGATGCTTCATGTCAAACTGACATTTTCCACACAAATTGTCTGGAAAGCTGTTCGCTCGTCTTCTGACTCCACCCATGGCCAGTCCCATTTTGTTGCAGTGAAATCCCCAGATGGTTTTTCTTGCTTAAACACCCCATTCTGGAGGCCTAAACAGCAACTTTGAATAATTTGTTTGAGAACATAATTACATAGTTAAACATAAAACATGATGATAAATCATGTGATCTTGATGAACCATATAAGAACCATGTAATAACCATAGGATAACCATAGGATAACCATATAAGAACCATATAAGAACCATGTAATAACCATAGGATAACAATGTTGGATGATGTGGGTGCATTTGCCCATGACTTTCCTATGAAATTTGATGACATTCCCATGATCTAATTTCTCCAGGGCCCCCGGGCGTGGGCGCCCCCGATGATGCCAGGCCCCGATCAGTGGCTGGAACACCACCACCTGGAAATGGAAGATGAACCAATCAATAAATGGTTCACAATATATAAGTGGATATATATATATATAATTGGTCATTATATTATATGAATTATATGCTGAATATTGGTTCACAATCATTTGTAATCATCATTCACGCCAACAATCACCAACATAGTTATATATTACAATTAGGTCCTACCCATGTTGGTGATTGTTGGCGTGCTTGTACGTAACGGATCCAAAATGCCATTCCTGTCCTCCTGCAAAGGCCCTTGTGGGTTGAAATATGGTAGTGGCCCAACATGTTTTTTAAAAACAAATACCCTCTGGTAAATTAACATAGCTATGGAAAATCACCATTTTTAATGGTAAAATCCACTATTAATGGTCATTTTCAATAGCTACGTTAAATTACCAGAGGGTACCTTTGCAAGGTCAAGTATTTTTTGCAGCCATGGCAATGATTTTTTTTCAGAAAACCACCTTGCCGACCCGAAAAAACAAATTGCAACTGTTGATTTTACTACAGTGCCCCATACTTCCATGTACTTCCCTTAATACCACCAGTTCTTGAAATGTTGACATTCTTGATATTCTTGGGGGGTGATCTTTTTGATCTTCTGCGGGGACGATGTTTTGGACCAAAACATTACCCGGTATGGACCGTTTGCAAAGCATCATGGATTTTCTGTTAATGCTTTTCCTCAAAGGACCGCCTTTTGGACCAAAAGGTCACCCTGTTGAGCTTGCCAAATTCGAATTGAAATCCACGACCCAAATTGTCTCAAAATTAATGATTGGCAGATTGTCCTTTGAGGATTTGAACGTACCAAATCCATGAAATCATTCGATAAACAAATGATCCCGCAAAATCGCAAAATAGCTCTACCAGATCCGCCCAGATAGTCGACTCAAAACCATTCACATCCACCTGGCTCCCCGATGGATACTGCAGAACTTGAGAAGAACATATCACTTTACACATCTTTACACCATGTTTTGCCAACTGCAGAATGCCTGATTGTATTACCCAAACTAAATCTCAGATGGCAATTTCATGCAATTTCTAGACAAGGTCAAGTTTTTATTCAGGCCTAGATTTCCATCAAAACAACAGTTTTGCACAGTATATTAAAACTCTATCCATAATTTAGATAAGACAACAAGGTGCAATACATTGAATATCAATATTTCCAGCCCAAATCTATCCAAGATATCCCAAGGCACCTAGGTTAAAATCAACCCGATTATGTTATTTCATTTGCCTAAAGAAATCTACATGTGTAGGACCCAAACATTGTAAAATCAGACTCACATACAAAAAACTATACTTAACTTATAATATTAATCCAGTAATCATATTAGCTCAATCCAGTTCACGGATGATATCATGATGGTTATTAGCAATATATATATATAATATAATATATATATATGGGGTTGTCATGTTCACCCCGCAAGAACAGGTCTTCACATAACATTTTAATCGACCTGGAAAGGGGAGAATCATCAAGTTATCCTCCTTTGTTGCTCTTGGCCACTTCCAATCATCATCACTAGTTGCAACCCCCCAAACAATAGAAAGGTATGTTATGTTAGTACATTATTTTAATTTTCTTGGAGGTTTCCAATTTTATCTACCTATCTACCATGATATAATCCCCACATAATGTAGATTTACCAGTCTATCACCAATCTATCATCATTTACAATTTTGATGATATGTAAATATGATGTATTACATAATATATTGCAATGATGATTTATAATCACCCTTTCTATCATATTTTTTCTGGGTCAAATCCACATGTTTGATGGCTAAATCCTTCCTTGGACCCCCGCCGAGCTGTTCATTGTGCAGCTTCTTTGTGGCCTTCCCATTTTCGAAAGCCACCCGCTTTTTTTTTTCAGAGGGAAAATCGTAGGTTTAAGGATAATTTTACAGGACATACCCCATATTTGCTGGTAAAAACTATGGTTTAATCGGTTTCGATTTTCCCCAACCAATCCAAAGAGAAACAAAAACCAAAAACGACATTGATGGGATTGATGGGAAAATAGATGATACCAATGACACCGGTGGGAAAATAACATTTCAGTGGGATATTTTTTGAATGGAACTGATGGGAACATATATGTAATGGGAAAAACACTTTATAATTTGAAATGGAATTGGTTTATAATGGAACTGAACATGGTAATTGAAATCAAAGAGAAGGACTGTTTTTGTTTTATATGAATGGGTTTCTACATGGAATTGATGGGAACATACAAAATCAAACTTTCCAATGGTTTGAATTGGTCTAATCATAACGAAGTGATTTTGTAGCAATTTGATGGAACTGTTTCCATGGGGATTAAATTAAGCGCGGATAAGAAGATGGGACATATAACCAACCAGATGAATAAGATTTACGCTATTGTATGGCCATTACATAAATGAATCATGAACAATGGTGAATATGATATGATGAACCGACCAGATCTTGGGCTACCCTGTTTTTGGATAATTTCCTCTATGAATGGATGAGTCTCTCCATTTTTTCCGTGGTGAAACACACACACATAGCCAAAAACATGCAGGGCCCTTTGAGAACACTTTTTGGTTTGTATACATCCGATTTCTCCTGTTTGTTATCCGAGTTAATTAAGGATGAATTGAACACAAACTTGCTGGTTCAACATATTGGCTCCCCATTTTGCTTGGCTTGACCCCCTATGGTTTTCATCAATCGATGTCAACTCCATCATATCCTAGATACACTTCCAAAAAATAGTTGGTTAGTACCGAGCCCTACCAAAGAACGAATTATTTCTGAACTGGGTTTGTCTCAACATAGGGTATCGCCAATTCCAATGCATTATAATCTCTAAATTTTAGATTAATTTATATCATTTAAAAATAGAATTAAATTTATTTTCGATATATATATACTTATCATCAATTATCATCATATATCCAACCGTTCCAAAATGAATGAGACGTAAAATTTCTCATGGTTTAAATCGTCTATTTATAGACCTCTGGCCATGGAGGCGACTCTCCAGGTCCTCCAGGTCGCCTCTAGCTGAGCGACCACCTCACTCCAACCATTGGTGGCAGTAAGGATGTCAACCACCTTGCGGCACCCAACTGGGCAACAAAAAGGAGCAAAAACGGGGATTGAACAAGCGAAATTTAGGTGCAACAAGCCGCTAAAACAGGGATTCAACTAGATAATCGCCAACTACAGATTTAACCAGTAACTTTTTTTGGTATCAACCAACTAACATTAGATTTAGTTGTGGGGTAGTTATACGACAATCTAGTGGAAGCCCCAAACAGATAGGCAAAAAACAGCAGTTTTATGAGAGTTGGCCCCAATTCCAATCTATGGAGGTAACCAGCCGAAAACCCGGTGAAGCAATGTGGGATCAAAATGAGAATATATGAGAATGTTGTCCCTTCAGCCATTAAGGTCTGACCATTTTCGAATGGTGAGCCACAACGATCCTTTGAGGGGATAATGTATGCGCATGTATGCGCCAATGGGGTTTCAACGTGTGGAGCTAGAAGGGCACATTGACATGAGCAGCGTCAAAAAGTGTCAAAAGCCTGGTTGCAAACTGGTTCTGGTTTGTTCATAATTCCGAGAATCGATTGTAATGATACCTTTTGAATAGGTAGAACTCCAATATCAACGATAAACCAATGGGATTTTGACACTGCGAGTATCGGGGTTTGCAAAAAACTCTCAACTGGGGGGTTTACAAGTTATTTTTCAGCGTTGTCATTACCAGTGTCCTTGGTGGTTTGCTTTGAGAAGTTGCAGGATCTCCCGTATTGAACAGCAACAAATGGGAAATTTCAACCCTCAGAAAAGTTGGAGTTAAGACAACATGTTGGGGTTTGAAACAGGTACTGTAGACATCGTTGTCACAGGTAATTAATGAACCCCAACATTCCAGGATTGTTGGCTGCATGTATTGCAAACGTCAGCAGATATGCCTCCGACCTCATGCTTCCTTCCTACTTGGATACATATATACCATTGACTCGCGAATCTTTTTGAACCAAGCAACTTGGATGAAAATCCTATGAAGGCGGGGCATGAAAGACAAAACTCCTGTTGAGAGGATCCCCAACGCGACAAGTCTCTGTAAAAGGATGGCTTTGGAACACCTCCGGCCTCATCCCATAGCCCCATGTTTGGCATTACTTCACATTGTTCCTGTTGGACGACCATCTCATGATAATCATCATCTATAAATGATTCTATCATGGGAAGTTGTCTATAGAAGTGACTCACATTTATAGATTGCATTTTTCATATTTTTTCGTGGGAAAATCCTGGATCTAAACGATTCTACATGGATCTAAATGGGGGACTTTCCAGCTTGCCAGCGTTGATTTTTCCGTGCCCCTTTCGGCCTCCTGTGACTTGCACTCCTGCAGGGCGGTGCTCATGAGGAAAAGGTGGCCCATGTAGCCCACCCTCGCATGCCTCGGGGGTCCAAGGGGGAGACCCCCAAGAATTGGCAGTTTGAGTAGGGACAAATCATGATGAACCCTTGGGTTTTAGGTCCCTATGTTTGGACAAACCCAAATGATAAATCCGTGCTGAAATACCATCTACAACCTGGTTTTTGGAACTGGGTGGGAACCACGTCTCGACTACCCCTTCTGCAAAAACGGTTGGAACGCCTACTCTTGAGTGAGTGGGATATCAAAACATCCTCTATATGGCTAAGGGTTGAAACCCTGGTATCATGGTGCACATCAGAACAGCTTGTAGTCATGGATATTCATACCCCTAAAAATTGTAGTTATATAGACATACATTCACCATTCACCAATCTTATCCTGCAAATGTTGAATGCCCCCCCAAAACCCCGGTTTATATAGTATTAAATCTGTTCATTTTGGGGACCCATATATCTATATATATATTATATTATATATAATATATATATATATATATTATATTATATATTATATTATATAATATATATTATATAATATATATTATATTCATTGTATACATATATATATTATTATTATATATAATACTATATAATACTATATAATATGTATTATATAATATATATTATATTAGTTGTATATATATATATTATAAAAAAATACTATATATTTCTATATTATATATATATAATTATATATATAATTATATATAATATATAATATATATATTATATATATTATATTTAGATGTATTTAATGTGAACGGGGGATGGGATTAATAATCTTAATAGTCGGATTTCGTCGGCCTGCCCTTCGCTGCCTCTGAGGTTTCTGCTTCTGCTTTGTGGCTTTCCACGAGGCTTCAGCTGCATACTCCTCAACGATCCGCTCCGCGAGAGATGCCTGGAGCAGTGGCACGTCTTGACATGACGACCAGTGGACCTGTGGAGGCTCTGTGATCTGCACCTGTCTCTTGGAAGTCAGGGTCTAAGGTGTAATGATCATGGGCCCACAACCAGATATGGTTCTGGGTGCTAGTTGGGTGGATGAAAAATGGTATGCTTTAGGAATCCAGGAATGACTGACAATGATCAAGATCTGTGAAACTCCCCAAGCCCTAGATTTTGATCCATACACATGTCTTGATGGGGTTATAACTCCCCGTTAAAATGGAGGTTTACCGAGCAAAGTGGATTGAAAAAAATGGCAGCTTGCCCCATTGACACGTCCGCGACACAAGCTGTCCACGAAAATTCCGAGCTGGAGAGCGTCTAATCATGGGCTGTAGCCTACACTACTAGTGATCATCCCACCCCTAGGGATTCCTTGCTGATTCTTTATATCACAGGTCATTGTATATTGTAGTGTCATGACATGTCACTATTGATGGAGATCCCCTACTACAACCACGATTTTTTAGCCTTCTACAAGTAGATTAGAACTGCCGTCAGAATACCAAGCATGGCTGCCAGTTCTATACATGATTTAGTTGTATCACCAGTGCGGTTGCTGGAGTGACCCTATTATAACTAACTTGGTATTTTCTCAAGTGACCGTTCTACACCATGATTCCAGGCTGATTTTTTTTAGCTGAACAACACATAGCACTATTTTACTGATGACCTCCGCCCCGGTTGGTGCTTGAACATAGACAAGAATTGCAACCACCAAACACAAGCAACTTAGTTATGGTTTTCCAGTTTCAGCTTTTATGGTTATTTAATGCAACATTTTGTTGAATTCCCTGATCAGAATATCAGAATACAGAATATCCATTTTCACATTTTCAGAAATCGTACAACAACCATATGCTTCCCAGGAATTTCTGAATGGATTTCCAACCAGGTCGTCTGTCATTTTTGTGGTACACCAGCTGTCACCGCCACCCACAAGCCCGACCTCTTTCAGAAGCTGCTTCGCCAAGTGTTGCCTTAAAGGGTCGCTACCTGACAGCACCTGCGTTGGATTCGGGATGGGTTGACCCCTGCACCACTGGCCATTAAAATGCCGGGGAAATGGTGATTAACCATTACGTTTTAGGGTACCTTATTTTCAGACCAAACCATTTTCATGGGACAGTTTTCTGTTGGATCACGTATTTTTGAGGGAAGAATTTCTGATATTTGGATATAAGTAACCAGTCCTAAACGCTGGTACCCATCCAGCAACGGTGACATCCAATCCTTGTTGGGGAATGATTCTTGCCCAAATGTGGTCCATCCCTGTGCCCAACCATAGTAGACCCTTGGGCCTCAATCACCAACTGCTTCACGCAGTTGTGGAGTAAACTGCTCCATGGGTGTTGGAAAAAGACCTTGCGAGCCGGGGAATGGGTTGTGGAAACGATCGCTGCCACGCATCGTTCGAGATATTCGCACGTTCGAACCCGCGGCTTGCAAGTTGTGATGTGCACATCACAATTGCAAGAACTGCAAACCAATTGGGGATCCCCAAGTCTCATAGCTGATCATCAGCTACAAGAACCGGCATTTTAGGCTATCCACGGTTATCCTCCCTCTTTGGACCAATCCAAATATGCCAAAAGCGGTCAACCGTCGACAGAACCAGCTGCCTGGAGGCATCTTGGAAGGAGCTCGTTCTTCAGCATCGCTTCCAAAATCACCTCTAGGCCAGACCTGGAGGCCAGACGCTTGAGCTGCATCAATCTGGGCACCACTAACCCCGCCGAAAAAGAAATCTGAGGGGGTCCTTCCCCCCCGAAAAATGGAGGTTAATTATGGTTACCTAGTAATTGATCAATGAGGGTAAGTATGTTTATATACAGTATCTACTATAACCATGAAATGGGGGTGTCAAGGCAAACGAGGTTCCACCCTGTGGAACATCGTGAAATCTATACTGATTCTGAACCACCCTCTCAATGCTATAGGCAGAAATGGGGGGATCCCAAATCCCAAAGTCAGCTCGTTGGGTATAAAAAGGGGCCAAGAGAATTGGGCTGATCCAGTGTGTTGGGGCGCTTTGATTTGGAGATTGTCGATTCATCTCAGCGAAGTACTCTACACTTTGCAAACATTTGCAAACTAGTTTTTTTTTTGAATGCTTCCAATCACCAACTATGGATAGAAAGGCTGGAAACCTGGAAACATTTGGAAGACATCATCCAACTAGCATCCTGTAGTCCCACTTTTGGGATCTCTTCGGGGTTGCTAGCATCCACAAAAAAATAATAGAAAAGTAAAATCTTACGAACATGTAGATAACATGAGAGAACTTACATTTTCTTTTTAGGGCTTACCGTATACCCTCTGGTATATATATATTAGATGTATCATACTAGAAGATTCTATTGGATATATCTACAATTTCTTGGTTGCACGTTGTCGTCGCTTCGGGTGGCATCTCCGGGCCGTTCAACAAACATGTGCGGCTGTGAAAAACACGTCGATTTAGTGGTGATTAAATGGTGATTTTTTATAGGATTAGAATGGGATATAATGTGATATAAACATCCCGTAATACTAAGGCCCCGATTCGATGGTCCCAAATATGTTTTTTTATTCCCTATTAAACCATGGTTTCTTGGGGGTGTTTAGTGTTGGGGTGAAGGAACTGGTTTAGTTAAGTATGTTGAAACAAGTCAACTATAGACTAGCAGGCATTCTCATCCCCGTGTGCTACTGGGTGGTGATATCACATTTTTGGTAGTCTATTTTCCACATGAACGCATCACCATTGATTGTTGCGAGTTTGCATTGCTTCTATCTTCAGTTGTTGCTGAAATGCCAATCCATTGTTAAGTATATAACTCCTTTTTCTTCGTTGACAAACCATGGTTTTTACCAAGCTATTTGGGGGACCTTTTTTCATCCGCCTGGAGAGTGTCGTGATGAGGCTGATGACTTCAAGCGTGGTGCCTGGTGGGATCTGGTGGGTCGAAATTCCTCCCAATTTTATGGTGAGATATGGTGAGTTTACACAAAACATGTGGATCCATACCCTCTTTGTTCCCCATGCCGTATGCTGACGTCACATGTCCCCATGATGATCATGATGTCCTCTTGGGATCTCTTGGGAACAGTAGATGGGTCGCTTCGGTAATGTCAACCACGGATGAATGACTCTGTTTGATGAATTTAGGGGTTGTATCACTTGACAGTTGCCTAGCGGCTTTGAAGCATGCGATTACCTCATGTTACCCCTCTGGAAATGGGTATCTATGAGGTTTGCACCCAGCACCGCAGATACCTTTTGGGAAGGAATTGGTTATTTACAGAGATAAAATGACATATATTTACCAACGAAAAGTGGCTCTATACTAGGTTGGAGCACCTTAACATTTATCCAGATTGTTCTCATTGTACCCGTTTATATCCCATCATATTTCCACTATACCACCATTTTTGTTCAAAAAAAACTTCTTGGTGAAATTCCTTCAGTGTGCACAACCTCCAGCTCTGGCCTCCAACAGCCTTGATGCTTCCTTGAGGCATTGCCAGACTTGGATTGGCGCTGTTCTGGCGGTAGGATGGGGGAGAATTTCCTACTTTCGGCAACAGGAAATTGGGGCCACGCAAAAATGAGCCATGTTCAAAAGCCTGTCATGAATCTTGAAATTTTGGTTAAGAACATGTTAAGAATGGATTCCCAGTTCATGGATTATGATTACTGTATGATAATTTCCAATATATTGGATGGTATAAAATCACCTACAATCACCACCAACAGGTGTCTTGAACACTGCTCAGCAATTGTCCGAAAATTGATAGGGATTTACCAGCAAAAGGGACTACAATGGGGTTCTAAACAAGAAACAATCCTCGCGGAAAAAATCCTGTACAAATGCAGTCAAAGTAGTTCAATTCGTTGGCTGAGCTCGCACTGCAGTTGACCTTCATCGGTTACTGACCATTGTGTGTTGCCGGTGCCATGTGCATGGTGTTTGAAATGGTGTATAGCCCCAAATGGTTGTTTGAATAGGGATAATGATCATCCACCAGTGGATTTAGGATGCAGTACATTTCCAAACAAACTCACATGTAAAAACACAGGTTCGCTTTGGGTGTACCTCAATGTCCAAGCAAACCCCTCGACCCATCGCCCATCCCGAGGTCTATCTTAGCGTCGTTAGCGTGTTCCTCCAGGTTGTTATCCCCCAATTGCATTGCAAATCAAACCCCAGTTTATCAGACGACACTATCGAATCCGATAATATTCCAACAAAATCGTTGGTTTTATAACCTCAGTTTTGGACAAACCCACCTGGTGAGTTCCACATAAATCCCTTTTTTTATCCCATTTCCATCGCCATGTTCTACGCCCAAGTCATGATGCTCCCAATGTCCCCAATGCCAATGCCTGTTGGAGGCTGGTGTCCAAAAGTTGGCGGAAACTTGGGAAATGCCCTGCCACCTGGAGAACTCACAGCCCAGCAGAAACGAGGACTATGTATGTTTGTCTGTCTGGCTGTCTGAGTGTGCATGTGTGTGTACAGGTGTGCGTATGTGTGTGTATGTGTGTATCTGTGTGTGTATGCGTGTGTGTGTGTGCGTGTGGATGTGTATGCTTGTGTGTATGCTTGTGTGTATGCTTGTGTGTATGTACGTATGAATGTACGCCTGAATGTATGAATGTATGAATGTATGTATGTATGCATGCATGTATGCATGTATGCATGTATGCATGTATGCATGTATGCATGTATGCAGGGAGGTAGGTAGATAGGTAGGTATGTTTTCAGTTTTTCAGTTTTTCTGTCTTTCTGGATGTATTTACAAACGGCAATAGTATCTATACATGCATATGTGTATATAATTGTGTGTAGTATATCTGTTTATACATACGTATGAGGTATGTTACTGTAGGCACCACAATTAGCCATGGTAGTATGGGTGGATCTTTGGTGGTTGAACCCAGGGTCATGTCCACCCAAGGCATCTGTTGATAAATCCAAACATTGTATCCCCAGGTTAGTGGATGATTTCCATCAATCCCATGAATCACCCCATTTCTTACTCACCCAATTATCAATGAATTATTGCTTATCAATGAATTCTCCATTGATGATATACTGCTTATCCATTGATTAATCAAAAACTATCCATTGATTGTCCAAGATATACCACAATCATGTTCGGCCATGGATTATCCCATGAATTATCCGTTGACTAGTTGAAAAACTGGGGAGATTATCCACTAAGATGATCCATGAACTAGTTATCTACTAGTTATCCATCGTTTATCCATTATTTTTTCATGATTTCTCGTGCAAATCCATTGATTATTAGATTATTGACAATCCAAGATATCATAATATCCCCAATGGTTGCCCAAACATGGATTCTCCCCAGTCGTCAAAGCCTCACGCATCAGGCTGGCTCGGCGCCTGCTGTTTGGCCGTGAGGCCGAGGCGAGGCCGTGGGTCAATGGGTGTTTCATCTGGATATTAATGGTTATTAATGGTTATTAATGGTTATTAATGATTAATAACCATTAATGACCACAAAGGAAAAAAGAAACTACCTACAACCACCGCCTACCCGGGTTAGGCCGCTGGAGCCGATGATCGAGGCCGATGGAGCGGCTGGAGCCGATGAGGCCGATGGAGCCGATGAAGCTGGAGATAAATCCTATATGCAGTATTGCCAGAACAAAGGGAGTGCAGGTTACAGCTACATGCGCAAGAAGTGGTGCCGCAAAATCGACGCCAACCGTCAATGGCATGGGTTAACGCCCCTGGTTTCCTGAGGGAAACTGGTACGAGGATTATATATATAAACACATATAAACACCATTACACAGCTATGTGGATAAGTCGTCATCCAAAGCTGTTTTGTTCAGCCATGAAAATCATGGTCTGGAGCTTGGTTGCAACAGACATTTTGTTGGTTGCATCCCCAAAGATCTTCGAAAAAAAAAACCGCCCCCCCCCCCCGACCTTTCCATCCATTCCGAAGTGCTCAGAATCTGAGGCCTCGGCGGCAAAGATTTTGGGCATTTCCATGGAGGATCCCCAATAGCTGGATGGCTTATCTTAAGGAACATCCAAAAAAGTCAGGACAGGATGATTTGAGTGTGAACACGGGAGTATTAATACAAACAAATTAGGGGTTCAACCAGCGATGGGGATTGAACCAATGAAAGTGCAGTGTAAAACCACCATGGTGATGTTTTCATGGGGTGATGCTGGAATATAGGAATATTAATGAGGGATCAACAACTAAAATGGGGATTTATAGTCAAGAAATGGAAATTCAACATGGGTTTATCCGAAAACATTGGCATATACGAAATTAACAATTCTTTTTGGATATAGGGGGATCCGATGGGAGATTGACCAGTGAACGGTTTTTTGATTTGTCCAAAAGGGGATGATCCCGTCTTCTGACAAAAACCATTTCACAGCAATTTCGGATGATGTCAAACAGCTCCAATGGGGATATAATGGGTGGATATAAATGGGGATTTAAGCGTGCAACTTTGATCTCCATAGGGATTGAACTAGGCAAGATCTTCCCAAATCCAATTTACGACATTAGGATCTGAACCAAGAAAGAAGATACATGTTTATAGTTCATGCTGACCCTAAGAGAATCCATGGCTTCAGCTTTCGCTCTCCAAATTTCAATGAAACATCTCTGGAACCACCAGCCAGCCAGGGATTCTCGTGGAACCAACTCATCACCAGCACCAGGATTACAGGAGAGCGGGTGATCTCCAACAAGTTTTGGTGCTACGACTTCCCCCATTCAGCATGGGTGCTCCCAACACCCCAGAGGTGGCACTCTCTGCAATAGGTTGGAGCAATCCAACCAACAATCTGGCTGAAATATTGTAAAGCAACCCAAAGTAATTACAGTAATAGACAATTCGTCGTAATTCGTGTTGGAACTGGATGATGGGAAAATTACAAAGGATCCCCCCAAACATTTTGGGGGTGAAAGCCTGCAGGTTTCGGATAAGATTTGGCACCCCGGACGGTCCGGGCGACACCATTTTGGCTGGAGCGGCCTAAGCCCCGCAAAATGACAGCAGCGACAAAGATGAGAGTTTTGGCGGGATAAGATGCTCAAGAAACGCATGGGAATGTATGGGAAAATGCATGGGAATATTCGAAATGATGGAGGATTGGCATTTTGCAAGTGGCCAATTGCCAGTCGCAGATCTAGCCCAAGGAACCACAATCAAAGCAGGTAATTACGCGGCCTATAGAGCGACTTTAGTTGGTAGTGGGCTCACTCAGCATGGAGAAATTACAGAAACCTTCTGACGTTCTGGGCTACCAATTTTGGTGGTTTTTAGGATTCCAAGCAAAAACATATACTACATGTACACATATCTTATCATATGTGTGTAAGAGCCAAAATTGGATAACTCAAAATTGGGGGAAATTCTGCTGCTACTCAAACATCTGTGGCCCCGTACGCACGTTTTCAACCATACCCATGTAAATACAGTATATACAGTGTGTATATAACACATCTTGATATCTTGCGAGGTGGCTCATTACATCCTAGTACCCCGCAATGCCAAGAAATGCCGCCAGCTTGAACCCAGACTTGTTGCTGCACTACATGGTGTGTACGGGCACATCTATGTGTAAGTATATATATGTATATATCCACACCAAAAGCTACGTGGATATAACATAGATAATCATATAATATATATATATATATACACATAGATATACATGTATAGACACTGAATATGCAATATGCCGACCTACATGAACTTCCACCTTCAGCAACTTCCACCTTCAGCGCGCCTCACCCACCACAGGCTCATCCAAACTGACTGGGGGCATGTCCTGCTTTGAACAGCTGGTTGGTAAGACTTTGTGGTCATGAATTATCTGCTAGATCTGCTAGATAATGATAGCGATTAGTTTAAGGCCAAGACAACTAGACGACGTTGATTTACCTGTTTAAGAGCAATGATGGACACCAACAAAGATTTTCATGGAACTAGGCACAACTGGGTGAAACGAGAACTTGATTTGAGGCGCAATCAACCGCACATTTACAAGGAGCAAAGATCTATCATGGTGGGGGCCAGTAGTGAGAACATTGGCACGGCTCAACATTTTGGGTACCAGTTGACACACAGAAGTACGCATTTCCCTTCATAGCCGCCTTTCCTGTAAATATCGTGCCCTGGAAAGGGTATGCTTATCCTCTAGAAGAATCTTCCAGAGGAAAGCTGGGCAGTTGATAATCCGTCGTCCAAAAACTGAAATGCCTCCCCGTGTCTAGCGTTGTCCTGTTGCCTAAAATGCCCCCTAGTACAGGTCCGTAAAACATGAAAATCTGCCGACAATCCCACAGTGTTTTTTCGGAGATGTTTCCCAGACAGGCATGGCCAGTAATTCCGACCCGATGTGACCACCAAATTTCGCTCCATTTCTTCAAAGGGAAACTTCCATGCTGGCAAAAATTGTAAGAAGCCCAGACAAAGCCTGTCACATCCGATGAACCGCAGCTTCAAATCAAAGCAAGTTGCAAGGGGCCAAAGTCACCACAATAGGATCTTTAATTTAAGGTGGACCTCAAGAATAACCACGTTCCAAAAGACAAAAGGAACATAATTTTAGAAACCTTCATTTTCTCATTCTGGGGTGGGGACCCCTGAGCTCCACTTCATTTTAAGCATGGTCCAACGTGGCAAGCCGTTCACGTCCAGGATGGGATACTTCCAGTTGCTGGCAGTTAATACTTTAGTGGTAGGTTAGGTTACTTCCTTGGTTGTTGCTCTCCCTGATATCCATTCTCGCCATGTTTTCGCATGCACGGCTAGTCCCCTAATTTCCCAATTTCTGTTTTTGCAATCCGAATTTCTGTTGCTGGCTGGCGATTTTCAGCACATCCCGAAATATGAAAGTCCATTCCCAGAAAATCCCAATGACTCATGGATTATCAGTGGGTTAATTGTAGATCATCACAAAGACTGGTGGGTAAAATGCGTCACAAATAACTTTCGGGGATTTGGATGATCCTCCCGATCTCAAGTAGTAAAACAGGACAATGTTGGCACCAATCAGCTGGCGAAGTGCACCAAAAATATCAAAAAAATGTCTATACTTCCTATCCAGTTGCATCATCCAAATTCAAGAGTTGAACAGCTATTTAACATTATTTAACTAGGAAATGATATTTCAAGCCCAAAATATCCTCAAATGAGAAAATATCCTGAGTAGAACATTTTCGTTCAATAAATTCCAAGTTTCTGCTATCCCCAAATCTTGTTTTTCAAAAGTTCATTTTGGTTGGTGCACATCCCCTTTATTGTTTAGATTTACCCTCCTGCAAACTAACATAGATGTGGAAAATCACGATTTTCTATAGGTACTCCTCTGTAATTAAATGGGCCTTGGTTTCCGCAACTATTTTGCTGGATGGTCCTAAATTATAACGTGGATTACCTATAGAAACTGTTTTTTTTCCAAAAAATGACCTATAGAAAATTAGCTACAGATTTAGGATGATCTATAAATCACCATTTTAATAGCTATAAACATTAACCTATATTTACAAGACTGATCCATTTTTATGGTAAATCACCATTTTACCGCCAGGGTAGGTTAAGCCATGCCGAATGCTGCATGGATCGCGCCATCGCCTCCCCAAGGCGTGGTTGGGCCAGTGGCGACAAACTGGGGGTGGAAGCACAGACCTGGGTGGTCTGAACATCGGCACCAAGGCAGCTGGAGATTCACCATTGGGGATATACATAGATATTAGATATAGATATTAGATATAGATATTAGATATAGATATTAGATATAGATATTAGATATAGACATTAGATATAGATACTGATATAGATATAGAAATAGATATAGAAATAGATATAGATAAGGATAAGATAAGATAGATAAGATAGATAAGATAGATAAAACAGATAAAATAGATAAGATAGACAATCTAGATAATATATACATAAGATAGATAATATAGATAATATATATCAATCATATAGAGAGTATAGATAGTATAGATCGTATAGATAGTATAGATATACTATGGATATAGACATAGATATGGATAGATATGGACATGAAGATAGACATTGGACATGGCATTTTATTGATATTGTGTAAAGTGGATTCGACAGTAGGCATCATATGTACTGCATGTAGCAAAATGGGCTAGGACAGTAGCATATTACTCCAAGTAGTTGAGGATAGAACATATCATACATATCATTTTTACATCTACAAATATACATAATAAATGAATATACACATACATATGTATATTATATATAATTATATATATATATATTTATATATGTATGTATACACATGCTTCCCTGAAATTTCATGGAACCCTAACAGTACTATTTCCATGCCAGCGAATTGTTTTTTTTGTATTCAGACCCAGTGGAAAATTCCATAAACCCAAATTTTGGTGTATATATGGGGTATTGGAGTAGCATGGAATACCAAGAGTGTCAATGCAAGATGAATGGGCGGTCGACTGATGGTGGAGTCCCGAAGAGGTCAAGTAAGGTCAACAACAGGACCATTCAACAAGCATCAACAGATCAAGGGTCGACATGACTCCAAGGTTGATCCTTTTTACCCACGGCACCACATTCTAACCCATTTTACACTCATGATATGAGGTTGTTATGTCATAAAAGGGATTGATATAATTAGCCTGTTTCCTTTAAGTTGAACGGGTCACCCGGTCACCCGCCAAAAGTGATGCTAAAGTGTTGCCCTTGTCTACCTATTTCCAAAGCATCAAAACTGGAACCTCATGAATCTTCCAATAATTTGATGGCCATCAGCTTGGGGAAAAACCACCAATGTTTGGACAAGGCGCCTCTTATTGTTGTTAAAATACAGCAAATCCAGCAGGATTCCCATTCTATCTTGCTCATACATCCATATACACACATATGTACATGTAAATGTATATGTATATGGATATGTATGTGTATATATACATATCCCAAAGTCCCATAATCATCCTATATGATCTTTTATATATCCAATAATGTCCCATACACATCCCATCTTATCCCAAGATATCTCCCAAGATATCCACATGAATATCCCAACATCCCAACATCCCATATATATATATAAATTTAGTTACGTATATATATATATATTCCCATGTGAGTAGTGTTCAAAACCCTGCGTCATGCCTTTGTACTGGTTGGTTGGCCGGATTTCCTGTTCATGGATTGTGACAATACATGACGGTTGGCATAATTCCCTATATACAATCATCAATCAACGGGGGTTTTGAACATCGCCCAAAACAATGGCAATGGACAATCCCTCATTAATAGATCATGTTCCCATTGAAACCTCCGTTTAGTTCAGGAAAGGTTCCTTTCTATATTTTCCTATGGTTTTCCTATAGTTATGCAATTTTTATTGTTTTCCTATAGTTATGCCATTGCCACAACCCATATTTTCCCCATGTCCCAAACGAAAAACCGAAGAAATTTCCGGCATCATGGCCTCAGCGGTTTCCTTTCCAGCGGTGTGGATGATCACCGTGGTCAATAGAGACCTCGAAAACTTGGGAGACAGGTTGTAAAAACAATACTTACGTGTAAAACAAGGAAGGTATGAATGTACGTATCATAGATGTTTAGCATTATATATATATAACTGCATATGTATACATGGTGTGTGTACAGGAAATGATATGATATGACGTGACATGAGCAGACGTGACGTGTCATTACATTATATTTCATTCGTGTATAACTCCACGCAAACACAGAAGTGAGCTATAGTGAGCTCTTCGATATGCCAGTTTGTTTTCTCTCAAAACTCAGGAATTGAGGCATTACGACAGATATATCAACAAGGTTGCGGCCGTGTTAACGACCCTCAGTTCCAAATTAGTCTCGAGGATTCAGTGCCGCGTTTAGCAATCTTTTTGAATGTTCGTGATGGAGCGTGTGTTTCGAGGATTCAGTGCCGCGTTTAGCAATCTTTTTGAATGTTCGTGATGGAGCGTGTGTTTAGAGCGTCCCATTTTTACTATGACTTTGAACCTCATTTTTGCAAAACCCATTGGCTTTACGACTCGAAAACACAGCACTCTTAAAAATAAGCGTCATTTTTGTCCTCTATTGTAGCGAGATGCGTTCTTCGCAAGAGAGCCAACTGCTTTCAGCAAGTGCGGTCTTGCGTTCCACCGGAACATGAAGGCCAAGACGTACGTTCAGCCGTGAATTGTCACGGTGGCTGGTCAAGTCTTGTGACCCACCGCACCCACACCCCCGTGTTGCGTAGCATCCACAACGCATGCAAGTTACATGGAACGTTAACATGCCCCAACCCACCCCAACCACCGTGTTGCGTAGCATCAACAACGCATGCAAGTTACATGGAACGTTAACATGCCCACCCACCCCAACCACCGTGTTGCGTAGCATCCACAACGCATGCAAGTTACATGGAACGTTAACATGCCCCAACCCACCCCAACCACCGTGTTGCGTAGCATCCACAACGCATGCAAGTTACATGGAACGTTAACATGCCCCAACCCACCCCAACCACCGTGTTGCGTAGCATCCACAACGCATGCAAGTTACATGGAACGTTAACATGCCCCAACCCACCCCAACCACCGTGTTGCGTAGCATCCACAACGCATGCAAGTTACATGGAACGTTAACATGCCCCAACCCACCCCAACCACCGTGTTGCGTAGCATCCACAACGCATGCAAGTTACATGGAACGTTAACATGCCCCAACCCACCCCAACCACCGTGTTGCGTAGCATCCACAACGCATGCAAGTTTCATGGAACGTTAAAATGCCCCAACCCACCCCAACCCCTGTGTTGCGTAGCATCCATCACAAGGTGAAGAAAAAAAAGGTGAAGTTCCTACTGGGTCGCCAATGCGGCCGCGAGCATAAGTAACTTTAATTGACACAACCACCAAGTCCCAATGTGTTTTGATGTATCCCGTTATTTCCCGAACATGGCAGTTTCTCGTTGAAACCAGTGGACCAGTGGAGAGGACTTTTCGATGACTGAGGCAGCCGCATAGCTGGTGGCACGCCAGAAGGTTGAGTGAAAATATGATCAATGAGAAATTGTACCTGACAGCTGCACGCTTCGAGGGATCAACTCTCATCCCCAAAGTTTGCTACAAATAGCCGGTAAACAAACCTGGCACTCAGAAATCCATGAGCTTATCAACCCTTTTCGATGACTTGCCCTACTGTGGACATAATTCTGGGTAAATTAAACCTGAAATCAGGCTTCTTGGGATAGTTATCCCTGCTACCATTCCAGTGAGGTCGCAACATAATCTACCCAAATGATGGATCATTGAACATTTATTATGACCAATATCCATCATTATTGAAATATCCGTAATTCACCTAACTCCAGGCAAATTTCAATATTGCTTAAATATTCATGACCAATATCTATTGGAAGATTGGACCAGGAACGATTCATGACCCCACCAGGACGATCGTCGCACAGTGCTGGCTTCCGTGAGTTGTTGCGTGAGATCTTCGATCCAATACAAGGAGTCCTGGCTGCGGATGGGAACACCCGCCACTTGTAGATCGTTTCCTTGGGAACACCCGCGGTTTTTCCATATCTATCCTTCTTCAATCTCAGGACTCAGGGTAGCTTAGTTGTGTCATTGGGACACTTCTTCTGAGAGACCCCTTTTTTTGGATAGTTCCAGAAATCTGAAAGTATTCTATGAACAAATAAGTATGTTGGGAATCCACATGTCCAAAAAACATTTCTGGAACTATCCAATTTTCTAACCATTTACGAACTTAATAACTATTTCTAATGGATAATTACGGATAGTTTCATACTGAGACACAATGGGAATCCACATTACCATTTACGAACTGAAGACTCATCAGGGACGAAATGGTCATTTACCAGCATCCCCTGGCCCGCTTGGAGGATAAGAATGAATTTTGGATGGGATGAACCAGCTTTCAAGTAGTAAACTCAGCTATTTCTTGCTGTCTCATATTGTTCAATATCCCATGTCCTACATGCTGGTAAAACACACAAAATCATACAAAATCTGCCTCCACGTGTTGGTAAACATCTAGGTGATGGCCACGGAACCGTGCTTAGGAATGGCAGCTGTTTGATGCTGTTTGGACCACGGCGTATTGTTTGGGGTCGAGCCCTTTTGCTACTCCACAAACTGGACGATTTCACCAAAGAAGACTATAGGACCCAAGAAAGAAAGGTGTGGCTTTATGTTATAATACATAGATATTGATCTTCCGTTTGGGGTTTGTCTATCCTATCTTGTTGGAACTTCCATGCGATCCATTCCCATTTGCACTTACACAGACTTACTATTCTTGCATAACCAGATAACCAAAATAATTCTAGTAACTACTTCCTAACCAATATGTACCAATATCATATACATAATCATATACATATTTACACACACACACGCGTTATCTGTATCCTCGACGGCACATCAAGTACATACGTAGAATATCGTAGAATATCTCTCAACTGCAACTTTTAGGAAATTCCCCCCGGTTGGTCCCAAAATGCCCCCAACATTTTGCGAAAAACACGACATCCTACAATGGACTGTAATCCTTTGCCTCCAAGTAAGGTTTACCGCTGGAAACCCTGGGATGAAAAAAGGTTTACCGATGATTCGCCCCAGTTTTGTAGGTTGCATACGGTTGTATGCTTATTTTCTGTACATGGTTCTTCTATGCCTATTTTGATCATTTTGGTTGGAGAAACTCCACATAGAAATTCGGACCCTTGCAGACCCGGATTGCTCCAAAATGATGCCACGTTTTCTTCGGCCTTTTGGCTGCAGAGTTCCCCCAGGACCAGCGTGATGTTCCTGAAGGATGTTCCGTGAGGGCACAAGAACCATCAAACACATCCAGTAGGTCTTGAATTTTCAAGACAAAGAATGGAATGCTTATTTGTAAGCCGAACTTGTTTTGTAAGATATACAACACTAATTACAAAATGTTTGTTCAACATAAAATGAAACCTAACCCACTGTTCGCCAACCAATATTTGGGATGTCAACCAGCCCAAAGTGGGACTCACCCATTCACACTTGGGATTTGACCAACCTAATTGGGCCGAAACTTGCAAGAATGATCAAAAATGTGGTTTGAACAAAGCAACATGCTTCTTTCAATGACAAGCATGGGAATGTTTGATGGAGGAATTGACAGGCACAAGAGACATAGCCAGTACTGTAACATTCCTAGAACCCTGATGCCCTGATCCATCAACAAATCTGGGTTTGGCATTGATGAAGTGCCGTTCAAAATGGTTCAATGATTTTCAAGGCATATCAATGGATAATATATCCAGCAACAGTAGGGATGCTTTACCATCATGGTTGACACCATCCTATTGACAAGCTCCATCACAATATCGTTTTTTCGAGTTCCCAGGATCTAATGGGCTTATCTCTGGTCAGTGGCTTAATCCTTCAAAGTTATGGACCATGGACGAAGCTTTCAGCAGCGCGAAACTTGATCTGCACTGATGCTTTGACCATTTTAATTTCTAGAATCCGTCTAACTCTAACAGTCTAAGACTCCTCATCTTGGAACAGGATCACAAAAATGAGAGTAAATCAGAAATTCAGAGTTGGAATTTTGATAGCCTAATTTCACTGGCACAGGGGCACCGCTTTCCTACAACTTGTGACTTTCTGATATCTGTCATCTCAGGCTGAGATCGCAACTCTTGCGCGTCACTGTTGGAATCTTCCTGGCTTTGCGCTCCCAAAGCCAGAAATATGATAAAACCATATAAAAACACGAAACACACACAACTGTTCTTGCAAACAACCTGTTGGTACTGGGAAGTCTAGCCACTCCAGTACTGGGAAGTCTAGCCACTCCAAGGGTATCTCAATGTATCTCATAATTATAATTAGGATCGGGATGTGATATTGGGTAAGGCTATGTTATATTGGGGTTGTTCCCTGAAGTCACAAATTTTCGGCCAAAGGGTAGCGGAAACGATGTGCGGCCCTTGTGGCGATAGGACCGCCAAAACATTGCCGAATACCGCCAATGCTAACGGGGAGGAGTTTCTCCATGTCGAATACACATTCGGGTACTGTACCCCAAACTTGTGGTTTAACAGTCAACACGACTCACATACCATAATTTGCGATTTGCTAATTCAATATATAAACAGATATGTTTTTACATCTTGTTACCACATGTTTCATCATGTTTCTATATTTTTTCTGGTTCCTGAGTTTGAAACAAGTATCAATCAAACAATACAACATGAATTCGTATCCGCGTTGGTAGACTCAGGTACCCAAGACGTCATCCTCCCAGAAAAAGGGTAGGTAGCCCACAAATGCCCACAATTCATGGTTTAAGTAAAAAATCCCAAATTAAATCAGACATGACATTCTGTTCATTTCTGGGTAATATCCCCATGGCCCCTAAATCTCACGTTTTTCGCGCCTGCCAGCGGCTCAGGAACCGTGCCACGAGGTCGTTGGTTTGGAAGACCACCTCCCCACTTTGGCACTGCTTTGGCAAATCTAAATTTGGGGACATATGTGGAGGTTTCCTAGAATAACCAAGGGTTCATTGAGTTTATTCACCATTTTTGATTGGGACATGGTAATGTATTTGTAATATTATATAATGGGAATATGATTGGGATATGAATTATGAACCATTTATTGACCATTGACAACGGGGTACCCCAAACCATCCAAGTCATTAGACCACTTTGAAATCTGAACTCCCTGGTGATTTGGTGTCCCCTTAGAAAAGTTATCTTTGGATTTTTCTTAACCAATTGAATCTATATAATTGATATATCGCAACATGTCAACTTTCAGGATTAACATGGCAACAGCATATCAACATGTTAGTTGCACTCCAACATTTATGGTGGTTGACTGTTGGTTCAATCCCAATTTTGAGATTTTGGTTGAGTAGCTGAAATCCGAATAAACTACCGCGCTGATTTAGGGGGTAACAAGACTTTGAATTGCTCTAAGATTTTAAACTGGCTCCTTGGCTTATCCAAGATACACGTCCAGTGAAAATGGTGAGTAGAAGTCCCCATTCATCCGGTGCAGCTCCCTCTACACCTGGGTTCGAACTGTAACCATTATCAACCAAATACTGGCCGAGTCCCCACTGAGGTACAGTGAAACCACTCTTTAAGAACCTACTGCGGTAAGAACTTCAGGGGCTGGATTGCTGGATTAAGCCCTTTCTGTCAGCTAATTGAAATAAGAACCTTAGGGCACCCTGGATTCTAGCCACTGGTTCTTATTCCCCTTTAACGGGTATAAATATACCAAACGTTGATGATTGATAATATATGAATGCAAAAAACAAGCACGCAAGAAGCAAGCAAATCGCCAGCGAAACAGGGAGTGGAGCCCCAATACGGCGAGCAAAGCTGAACGCGACAGCTTGAGCCCGACACCAGCCGGACTCACGAGAGGCCATCTGACTTCAAATGCTGCCCTTGGCTTGTGTTTGGTTTGTCTTGGCTTGTCTTGCCTGTGCTGCCTTCTTTCAGGCCCCTAAATCAAAAAGACTTTTCGGCACCTAAAAAGGTTTTTTTCTTCCTCCCGCTTCCTTTGCAACCTAATACCACGCCAAAATAAACTTTCAAGCGCTGGCATGGTGGAATATCTGGCGTGTAGCTCTGTTTGGAATGCCTGCGCCTGAAAAAACTTTTCGGGACCTAAAAAGGTTTAGTTTTCCCCCTGCCTCCTTTGCAACCTAATACCACGCCAAAATGAATTGGCAAAACCCTCACCATATGAACCCCTTAAGAACTAACCCGTTAAGAACCTGAGGGTACCCTCGTTCATAATTCCCAAGTTTTCACCTATAGCACTTAAGAACCGCAGGGTAGGCTGAAAAATTCTTAATCGCTTCTTATCTAACGGTTCCGCTGTACTGAACCCCCTGTTGTGGTGGGTGATGATACTGAACATGTTTGAACATCACCCAATGGAAGAACTGACGGAGTGTTTCCCAAAATAGTGAGTAAAATAGACATGAGGAGAGACGTCTTGGTGTCTGCGATGTTTTTTTTTACATCCCAGTCCCAGGAATCAATATAATTATATAAATGCACGGATGGTCACGGATGTTTTACTACCTGAATTGAACGTGTTTCATGGATTTGACCGAACCCATCGCAGATCAACTGGAGAAAAGGAAACTTACGAGACTTCTTTGCAATGGTCGGTATGTCTGGGCCCATGTTCAACCCTAAACCTGCTGGGGTTGAAGTCTCTACAGTAGATAATTTTCATGCATTTTGGGCACTCTGTTTGAATTTTGCAATTTTTTGCCAAGGTGTTCCTTTTTTTCCGAACATGGATCCAGATGTTGTCCAAGCAGCCATCAGCCTCGATCACGATCCATTGGAATGTCTCCCACAAGGGAATCTGGAACCCCCCCCCAGACAGTTCAGGTTTTCCAAAAGGTTCCCGGATTCTGCGGGTTTGATACGGGTCCTGGTTTACAACATACCAACATCCTCCTCTACCGGACAAATGACATACGTGTGGGCAGAGTTCGGTTTGCTATAGTCTTGTTAATATACAATTCTCTCTCGTGCTTATCCAACATAGCTTGCTGGACAATGCCCTTTTCACTTATCCGTTGATAGATGATTTCACTACTATTGGAGAGTTTCAGTTGTTCTGGTAAGGTTAAACAATGTTAAACAATGTTAAACAATGTTAAACAATGTTAAACATAATTGCCATTTTCTTGGGGTTCAACGTAGCTGGCCTCCGCCTCGGATTCCCCTGAGAGAAGCCGCGCCAGGAGTTCGGCCAGCGACCTGGGGAACGTAGCTTCACTGAGAGGATTAGGGAAACCTGGGGATTGCAACGAAGAGCTTAAAAGTACGGCCTTGTTCATTGGCTTCTTGATGCTGGTGTTTCTGTTGGGTGCTGGATTGAACCAGGATAACTTGATTGTCATTTCGTTGCATTACGCTATGGCTATCACCAACTGGTCTCTAACCAATCGATCTCAGGTTATGACCCAAGCAGTATGGGCTGATTGCTAAGGGGTGTTATAAATGGATTCCACAAGCCCAGGTGGGGTATTTAAGATTGTTTAACCAGCTAAATTCGGGATATCACTCACCAACATCATGATTCATATAATCAACCAACATAGGGATTTGACCAAGCAACATGGCAATAGAAATAGATATCTCTTAAAAAATTGGAACCTACAAACTAGAAATCCTACAATCATCCCGATTTTTTTCAACTAAGACAAACCCAAATGAATCAGAAGATCCTCCAACCGTCCAACCAATCATGTTGGGTATGTCAACCCTTGTTGCCGTGAGTGTATGACCATCCATGTTGAAATCACCAGGGCACTGATCCTGACAAAACCCCGTTGACCATAGCACACGTAAGGTTTTCAAAACGTTGGGGATTCCATCCTAATTTTAGTAGATGAAAAGTAGATGATTATCATGTGGAAATGGTGCTGTTCCATGATTTTGGTGCAAGGTAGGCATCCCAAGTGCGGGACTGTGCCAGTCAGATCCTCAGTTTAGTATCATGGGGATTCAACCTCCCAGTTTCTTCAGAGCTGATTGACCACCAAGAACCATCGATTATTGGGCATTTTTTTGTTGCTGATTCTAATCAATGGTTAACAAAAAACCAATACACAGCCCAATAATGGAGCTTATTATAATTATTGGGTTTTTTAACCATCGATGATTGGGGGGTTACCATTGGGAGAGGGAGAGCGTCTCCCCTGCCTCAAGTGGATTCGGTCCAAAAACTCCCTCAGGAGTTGTTCCGGACCCCGCGAACGAAGATAATCCAAGACCTACGGCCCCGAATGGATGACGTTGTCATGGGATATGATAGCTGTATAATGCATATATATATATGATATATATAAATATGATTATATATGTATCAAATGTAATGTGATATCCACTATACAGCCATGTGAAACAGATTTGTTCGGGCGTTTGGGGGGATGATTCCCCTTGCTCACGACTGTTGTGAGGTTGGCCGGTGAGCTGGCTATAAACTATCAAGAAACATGGAGACACAGAAAAGGGGGATGTAATAGTTTAATAGCAGCTATAATATGGACAAACATATATATATATATATACATATATCATACATCATAAACAGCAAGGAGGAATCATAAGGCTAGTTTCAAATACCCAGTCCTGGCTTGGACTACATTCCCCCCTGGTGAACAATCATTGACCTCCCCGCGCGCCCCAAGGTTTGGCCCTGGGTGACCCAAATACCCATCATTGTTACAGCGGTTGTATTGGGAAGATGTTGGTCTCAACAGCGGTTGTGCTGCTATGGACACCTAGTGGGCAAAGAAGTTCAGGCAGATCACATTCCCACTGGCAGCTTTGCTCATAATCTCTTCAAAATGCTGATATAAAGGTCGTCTTTCCGCCGTCAGTTGCTGGGGTAAATTGTATAATCTGACCATCGAAGATTCATCAACAGTGGTGGATTCCTTCATGTGATAAGATGGGATAGAGTATGACCAATGATAGATGGCTCCGTACCCAAGATTGGGCAAACCCTTGAGGATTTGACCCCATGAAAAACATCCCAAATCTGGGGTATGCATCCCACTCAGCATAGTGGGTTTAATAGCGATTATCATGAGCCACTTCAAAATGGGATGTTTAATTACCCAACTTATCTACCCAAATGGGTTCCGACAATCACTTGCGAATGAGCTCCGGAACATTCATCACCTTTCATCCATATTTGGGCCCACTAACCACTATAAACCACTGGTGCATGGTGCGCACCACTGCGCTGTTTGGGCGCCTCCGTCTTGTATTTACTCATCAGAGCGGTAGCAGTTCTGGAAAAGTAGCCCGCGAGAACTGGGTTCACCTCAGCGGGGACGGGAGATCGTGGGCAGATAGACGAGCAGTAACTTCACAGGATTAAAAATCCATAGTAAGGATGGATATATATATAATGTAATATAATATAATATAATATAATGCAGTATCATATCAAATAATATAATACAATATAATATAATATGACATGATATAATATAATACAATATAAATCTACTATAATATAGTATTATTATATACAGTAGAATATTGGATACCACCACAAAGAAACTCTGCAGCCGGCATTTATTCGGCGTTTGTGGAGGTCATTTTCGGTGACCCCCCTCAGTTTTATTTTGATATATTTTGATTTTGGGGGTTCCCTAGTGAAAAAGATGTTGGCTTATCAAAAAGAAAAGCTGCTGAAAATCAAGGTGTGATGGGTTTAGGGTTCAGATCAACCATTGGGCTTTTTCAAGAATGGAATACCTCGAACAATCACATCAAGTTGGCTCTATATCCCATGAATTCCCCACCTTTACTGGTTCAACCAGGCATCAAATCCTTTCCCTGGGGCCATACCCTATTACAAACCAAATAGCCTAATATATCAGCCAGTTTTAATGGGGTATATCCCAAGATCTGCCCGTTGTCCCATATTTTACCCTGTAATATCCAATGAAACCATTCATTAAATCTGCGAATATATACCAGTAAAACCATACAACACCCAAGTGGGATATTCAATCTCATTCTATGCTAGCTCATTGAATCTCTTACCCAAAAAAAAAAACATTCTTAAATAGCAGATGTTTCTGGTTTTCGGCTTCCCCGTGCCCGATGTTTCTGCCTCAGCCGGAGTCCTTCTGAGGAAGGACCACAGCAAGTCCATAGCCTGATGGAAATCACCGAAAACAGGGGGCACTTATATGTCAACCCAAATATTATATGGTAATATCCATTTATAGTATAATAATAATGATTTTACCATGAAAGAAGAAACCATGATCATTTAATGAGCATTCTGCCGCTCATCTACTGTATCAGGGGAATCTATTGCTACAGTCTACTTGGGGGCGACCCTTATGCGCACGTGTCAACTTCCGGACCCAAAAGTCAACCATGGCATGGTCTTTTCTGTGGAGAGTTTGTAAATTTTGCTGCAACGTACTATTCACTCAGTTGGAAACGTGGGATATGGCAATGGGTCAGGGGTGCAACAGTGTATTATGATGGAATTGAAAGATCAGAATGAAACGACTGAAACAACCAGCGAGAAAGAATTGGGGGCCCAGTCATTGAGGATCAAAACCGATATCGATCATGTCAGTGGATATGTGAGTAGCAATGGGGTGTCAAAGTGGGATAACATATCATGAATGGATATGAATGGTAGCTTCTTAAATTTCATCCTTTGCCAGTGTCAGGAACTAAAGACCAGAAGGGAAGTGTGGCACAAATTCATGGCATTTCATGGCCAAATACCATTAAAAGGGATTGGTCTTCCTCACTATATGAACATATTCCTCCATCGATGGCAAATCGCAATCATCGTCTTGACCCATGGCTTTTAAAACATTGGCTTGGATAGTATGTATAATATATAGTTATTTGACTGATAATTGCAATCATTCTGATATCCTGGGCTAAAACCATAAAACCAGAATTGGGAATTGCACTCATCCAATATTTTTCATACCATTGAGAATACCATTCAGAATATCCTGCATCCCTCTTGGAGTGGAAAAATCAGACAGTGCATAACCCAAGATTCATCTCCAAACTCGGGTGTGAACCCAGGAATTGCTGTGAAAGGTTGGCATAAAGAACTTTGGAGATTAAGTGTGTATGGTCTCCCCGGGTACCTAGAACCTGATCTCCACCGAATCTACATGCAGTATTTGTTGCGCCATCGATGGGGAATGGAGATACCCCAGAAGTTGGAAATACCTTGAGCCCTGCAATCATGGCCATATACCCCGCACAAAAAATATGTGGAACTACGACATACTGTAGCTAAGCCCATAGAATAAACTATGATTATTGTAGAATCATAAACTCTCTGGTAATCAAACATGGCACTCCCATTTATACAGTAGGGGACGTCAAATTGCGATCTTTGCCGGAGGGTAGCCCATTAAAACTGCAGGCCGCCGCTGAGTTCTCAACATCACTCTCTTTGCTCACAAGAAGTTCCAAGAATTTTGCTGGGGCACCTCCACGGCTGAAATGTATCCCATAAAAAAAAACAGCAACGACTTTTCTCCATTTCTGAACAGTGTCTTTTTTTAAAAACGGCAGGTGATATAAGAAACACTGTTGGAACGCTATCACATAGGTAAATAATGGGTAAATATCCCCATGATATCCACATAAAACGATGATGTTGGAACGTCACGAGTAAAAGTCCCATGATTTAAACGCCTGGAACGAACACCCGCAATGGCAATCCAAGGTGGTAATCGGAAGTCCAAATACTTTATCGGAAAATGATATGTACATACATATACATGTATATAATGCATATATATATATGTATATATCTAAAATATCTATAATATACATATATAATCATATATATATATATATTATTATGTATATACATATATATAATATATATATATATATTATCTATCTATATATATATATATTATCTATCTATATATGTATGACGTATATATATATATATATACATATATATATATATATAATATTATATATAATGTATTTTTTTAACGCATGCAGGCGGCCAAGGAGCCTCGAGCAAAGTGGAAAGTTTGGAACAAAATATCATGTAATATCATGTTGTATATACAGTATTTGATCATATATATATATTATATGTATGTATGATCATACCCACTCATGGTTTCCCATTTCAGGTTTCATGGTGACTTTGGTGATCTTTTGCATCGCAGTTCACTGCTGACAACTCAGAAACTTGTTGCACTTACCCTCCGGTTATGTCAACAGTTAGCTATTGAAAATGGCCATAGAAATAGTGGATTTACCCATGAATAATGGTGATTTTCCATAGCTACCAGAGGGTATCCAATGTTATTGGTAAAACCCAAGGCCATGAATTATTACCATCAAAGCTGCAAACCATGTCATGAAGATAGTAAATATATATGTAAATATCTCAAAAATGGTACCCCGTTTTGGATCGTTTCGATCTATTCTAGTCATTTCCACCTTTATCCACCCAGCAACATAGGTGAAAACTTCTTTCATGAATTCCAAGGATTTCAATGATCAGGTCATCAGCCGCCCCGCCCTGGGGCACAGGTCATCAATTCGACGGCCACGAAGGGATATCTATAGCACCGGGCATTGCCTGCCTGGCCAAACAGCAAACTATACCCGTGCGTCTCTTGACCATACCCATGCAAAACTCATCCATCAGTTTATGGTGCCCGGCATGACATCTATTTTTTGGGTTGTCGCCATTGTTCGAAACACGCTTTCGCTACCTGGACAACAAATGGCAACAACGCTCTGTGAATCAACATCTCAACTAATTCATATGGAATTCCGGCTTCTTGGATGCGAGTCTAGTCTATTCAAATTAAACTCCTGAAAGTGTTACTTGCATAACAATTTCGCCTTATCAATGCATTGACAAATCCTTGATAAAAAACAACGGAAAATCATGGAAATTATATCGCACCCACTGAGTTTTGGCGGGAAAAACACCTGATGAATCGGAGACTGACGAACTCGAATGGCCTTCCAAATGTTGCTCTCCTGGTTGGAAACCCTGACACTGCTCATCATGTTTCCTGAAGTCTTGTGACTTTATGCCACCAATGTGGGGGGAAAAAAAAATATGGCAGATATGGGTCAAAACCTGGTGCCCTTCCGTTCCCAGAAAGCGCCTCAGGTGGTGGGTCCAGAGTGATGCAATCCATCAAGACCTGGCCGTGCTGAGATGACGATGACTCAAGGGGATTTCAAGAGGTGTTGGGGGTCCGTGCTATGATCAACAGATAGTATATTTAGATAGTATATAGTTTTATAGCATAATTATATAACTATAATTACCTATATATATATATGTGTGTTCTGAAAATATTGGGAATTCTTAGTATGATATAATAATATAATATATAGATTTTCAATCATATAGTAGATGAGGATAGTAATAGAACTATCCCAATAATATAACTATTATAACTATCAATCATCCCAATTAATTGAACATCAAGGGGCTATTCATGTTAATGAATATTACTGGTGAACAGTATATATATATATATATTGATATTTAATGGTCCCCAATTCTCCCAATAAATATAATTATAACATGTTTGTGGAAATGAAGCCCTATTGCAGCGAACAAGCAAACGAAGCAACTCGGACTTTTTCCATTGGTGCGATAGCCACGGCTGAAGATCTGAGATTAGGGCATTGAGCCATATGCCCGCAGCCATTCGACTGCTGAATGTCACCAGTGTCACAACATCACTTTGTCATTCGTCATACTTTGTTTTGTTGCTCTTGCTGCATCAAAGTGATGGTGGAACTGGCATGAAAAACAGTCACAAGCACTGGAGTCACACATCCGATTAGCGCATGCTGGTTGGACAAAAGTGGATACTCGACAGCGCTTTCCAAGCAATGCCAAAAATACTGGCCACTGATTTCAAATCTTCCAAATGATGATCGCAACGGGAAATCAGTTGTGCTAAAACGTGGCTGGGGTGTTCTATACGACTTGGCATTGAATGCCACTTGCAATCCCAAACCTGAAACACTATGCCAACCCTTTTGGTCAGCAAGCTTCGACAAAATGCGGCAAAATGGGGTCCTCAGCACTCAGTCTCGTCCCAGGCAGCTCAGCGTCAGCGCATGCTGTAGAGCTTGAAGGTTTCAGCTGCTTAGCTTTTCCAACCTGCTTCAAGAACTCGGGGCTGTAGGAAATCGACCAAGACCCGGAAAGCAGAATCTTGCGAAGATGCTGGAGGTCCATGTCCTTGGTCAGGGCGTCAACCCACATGTTGCTGGTTGCTGTCCATTTCAGGCAGGAATTCGGCCGTCTCAAGACCGAGCGAAGCCATGCAATGGTGAATGCAAGGCTTTTCTGAGATCCATAACTTGGTGTATCACTGTTCCCTTTGTCGTGAACATCTTTGGCGTCCACAACTGCGGTCATGGCAATGGAGTTGATGGCCGTGTCCACATTGCGGCCATGCAAGGATTTTCCGCAGAGCGAAGCCAGAAATCCACGGCATAGTTGCGCAGTGTCAATGGCCTCCTCAGCTGAAAGTGTCTCGGCTGAGTACGTCGATCTGCATACCCTGGGGATCCGATGTGACCTCGAATCCAAAACATTGAAGGATCCGCAGTTACCATGCACCAGGGCCTCATCGGCAATCATGATGACATACCCGGCCTGTGAGTAGACCTTCTCCAGGGGCGTTCCACTTGAAGCACCTGAACGTTGCACATTGCCGAGCGCCGCATCGGAAACCGCAACGATGCCAGCTCGCCGAAAATCAATCGGTCTGAAAATCAACTCAAACTGGCTGGTTCGCTTGAACTCCTTGACAAGGCTGTTTGCTCGAAGGATGGTGCCGATTGTAGCTTCTTCGCCTTGAAGAACTGATACTTGAAATGCCATATCGAATCTCACCTGAGCAACTACAGTAGCCACTGGAAACTGCCAAGGACCGCCCGTAGCTGACGTGCTTCATGCTGCGATAGTGCAGCACTTGGATTGGATTTGCGTTCCCTCGGCAAAAGGATCTCCTTGAGGTTCTCGTGGTATTCAACCATAGACAATCGGACTGAGCCGTCCGAAGCACGTCTGATGCGCTTCCCACACCAGGTGAAGTCATTGAAGTCCTGGCTGCCGAAGCCCAACTCTTGGCCAATCTTTGCTAACGAGGCTTCAGCAACTTTCGAACCACAAAAGAGCAAATCGTCGACATGAGCGACGATGACACCTTCCAAGGTGCAGGACTCATAGTTGTCAAGCTCCTGCTGGCCATCTTGAGGAGCGGACCAAAGTAGCCACATGGCTGCATCAATGCAAGATCGAACCCAACGATTCTCATTCATGGTGCGGCTAAGTCGAAGCCACCATTCTCTTGGAGCATCGGCCAAGCCAAAGATCCCTTTCAGAACTCGGCAAAGTTGGCCAGGTAGTAGCGGCAAACTCGGTGAGCTCTTCGGGTTGGTGTTCTGGAGGTACAGCTCTCTTGCAAGGTATGGATCACCTTTCAAAAATGCTGCTTTGACGTCCGAAGAAATGATTGCCCAATGGGTGAAAAAGCTTGCCACCACAAACAAAAAATGCTGAGCCAATCGCGATCCAGTAGGAGCATCACGGCGAAGGTTGCCTTCAAGGTTGCTCCGGTCTTTGTATCCTGGTACCACCAATCTGCTGGAGGGCTTGATAGGAAGTGGATGCGATGCTGTTCGAAGGCCATCATGTTTGTCTGTCATGACAAATCTTGGGGTCATGATGCGGTCAAGTTCTTTCCGACGTCCAAGATCACGACGTACGGCTTGTGATTCTTGCATGCTCAGAACCTTGATCGCCTCATTGTCAACATAGGCTTTCCAACCTGTCGTTGCTGCATCACCCCAAAGCTTCTTGTGCTCGTCACTCATCTGTGACCAATGGTATTCCTTGCGAGCAGCTTGCACGGCATTTGATTCTTGGACAGGCTGTCCAGAAGGAAGCTGTTTACCCAGCTCAACTTGCAATTGCCAATCACGTTCACATAGGAAGGCCCAACGTCCATCCCAGGTCCCATGGTCATACTCTGCAGCGCCCAAGGGATGCCAGCGGTCAAGGTCTGCTTGGGCTTGAAGAGCAAGTAGAGGATGGATGTTGGTGTCGTTGGCAACTTGTTCAAGTTCTGCCTGAGACATGATTAATGCCTCAAATGCCAAGGCTTCATTCGGCTGCAGGGTAGATCCTGTAGCTCTCTCAAAAGGTTCTGCTCGAGGAAGATCTTCTTCGGCAGCACGCTTTGTTCCACGCTCGAAATCATCAAAAGCGCGAGCGCGATCCATAGTTCGCCCAAGTCCAGGAGACAAGCCCACAGCTGGACTCGGAGGCACAGGCACTGAGGCTGCTGGCGTAGCAGGCATGGAAAGATCACCAACCAAGTCCAAAGGCGGTGAACTCGAAGGTGCAGCACCAACAAGTCCAGGTTGGAGTGCTGCAATCACCTCATTGCTGGTCAAAGGTGCTGGTCCTGCTGTCAAAGGAACCATTACAGGCGTCGCAGGGACAGGAGTGCCAGGAACCAATTCTTCATCATCAGATTCAACTTGAGGGGCATTCGAGTTGATCGCCATGTCATTCTTAGCGGCCTGCACAACTTCATCGATGGCTGCTTCCCAAGAACCTGCTGCAATGCTCTCGAGGGCACTTGCTTTTGGCACATGCTCCGTGGGGCACTTGGAGAGTTGGCCGCGGAAGGAAATAAAGCAATTGGCAGCATAGTCTGTGCCGCCCTTGCCCTCGGTCGCAACCAAAAGTCCAGGTCCATGCCACCTGCGAAGCATCAGCTGCTTACGAGATCGTGAGCCAGTGCCACCATCCTTGCGAGACTTGTATTTCTGGGCTCGCCAAAAGAAAACCAAATCACCTGGAGAGGGCAAGGATGTCGCAGTAGTGGACCTTGAACGGGCCAATTCGGCTTGTCTCAAGGCTCTGCTGTAATGAAGCCGAAGCATAGCAACTCTTGCTGTCTCCCGGATGGCTGTTTGCTTTGCCATTGATGGAACTGATTCAATCAATGAGTGTTCAGCCAAATGTCCATGAAATCCACCAAGGACGTCGCCAGGAGATCTGCTGTTCTTCCCCGTCACCAACTGCTGAGGGGAGACGCCACTTTCATTGACGTCATTGTTGTAGGAGCTAACTGCCTCGGCCACTGCCTGCTGCATTTCATCATCTGTGGCCACGGCATGTGTCTGGCAGATAGCGGAAACCAAAGTGCGAAGCGTAGCTCCACTTCGCTCTGCAATACCATTTTGCCATGGGGCTCCAACACCTGCATGAAACAAATAAATGCTCCTTGAGTCACACCAATCGCAGAACTCGGTGGAGATGAATTCGCGACCTTGGTCAGCAACCAATGTGTGTGGAGCGCCCATCAATGAAATCCAATGCACCACCAAAAACTGGATGACCTCTGCCGAGCTCTTGTCTTTCATGACTCGAGCAGCTTGAAAGCGACTCACGCTGTCAGTGATGTGAGCCACAGTATGAGGTTTTTTGACAGAGTCATCCAAAATCATCAAATCGATGTGTGCTTGCTGCCCAACCTGTCGTGGTGGAGGTAGAGAAGCTGGCAGTCTAGGTCGAGGTGGTTGTCGTTCAGCACATATCAAGCATGACAGCCTCTTTGCTGCAACGACTGCTTCTCTAGGTGCACCAGCCACCAGTAGTGCCCGAACCAGCCGGAGATTTGACCGGTGGCCCGTATTGATGTGGAGCCTCATCACGGCCTGTCTAACGGCCGGCGTGATGGTGATGCTACTGTCTTCGGGCTTCAAACCAAGTTCTTCGTCACCATCAGATTCAACAGTTTCGCCAGCATTGGCTTCATGGACATTCTCCGTGGAATTCACCTCAAAGTCCAAGTCCAAACGATCCTTCCACATGAGATTGGATTCAAAATCAAATTGCTCAAGAAAAGAGTCCACCAATGCATCGGCGAAGGCAGTTGTGTAGTGGCCTGCAATGGCCGTCACTTTGCTCCCACCAATCACAGGTGCATGGGCATGGTCACCTGGGCATTGGCATCCCAGCATGTTGGAGATGACAGCTTGCATGGATGTCACCAGCTGAGTGCTCTTCCTGTGGAAAAGCCCATTGGCAGCTTTGAGGCCAAAGTAGCACATGTCAATGAAGACCTTCATCGCATGATGTCGGGTCATAAAACTTTCCAACTCATCAGTCTTCCAGGTCGAGGATTTTCCATCACATAGTGTCGACCTTCTCGAACTTGAAGCTCAGCAACCTGGATGGCAAAACGAATGAGGGTCAATCCTTGGTCTCTCTTCTCGGCTAAGTCCAAAGCCGGATTCAAGAATTGAAGAGGTGACCAAGGTCCGCATGGAAAAGCCAACATAACCACATAGGGCTTCCGGCGACGTATCAAGTCCAAGGCCTTTTGGCGATCAGCAGCCAACAGAAAATTCCAACCTGTTGACAAAGTCAAGCTGTCACCAGCATGAAGGCCACGTCGACGGACACTTCTGGCAATTGGTTCAGTGTCTGTGAACACCTCAGTCGCCAGGATGTTTGGAAAAGTGAACTCAATGCTGAAGGTCTCGTTCATACAGTCTCGCATCTCGTGATCCCATGAAGTCAAAAGGATCTGATGCACATCAGAACGCTGACATGAGATGAGCTTCTGCTCCTTCTTGTGCTTGGCCCAGGCCTGTGTGATCATCTGCTTCACACCAGGGTTGATCTTGTCGTTCAGGACGAAGGCCCTGTTTCCGGCATGTCGGCGTCCACTTCCAGAGCTTGAGGAAGAAGTGGACCTTGCTGAACGGCTTGCATGACCTGCTCCATCATGAGATTGAATCGCCCTTCCTGGTCTTTCACCTGCTGTTGTAGTTTCTGACTCAGGGCAGTCAACTGAGCCATCTGCTCGTCCGCCACCGTCGAAGGCTTCAACCATGAAGACTCCGTGGATTGTGGCCTGGATGCCTGAGGAGTTGCCAATGATTTCGCCTTCGATGTTGCCTGAGGGGCAGCTTTGACAGGGGTCACATTCTTGAGCATCTCGATGGAAGGTTTGATCCTCTCCTGGAGCTGGGCCACCGTGTCCTTGGGGTTCACCGGAAGGTGCAAAAGCAATGCAAGTCTGGTGAGGTCGTCCTTCAGCGCTGGAAGACCACCACGAGGTCCCACAAGTGCGCGGGCTGCTTGAAGTCGATCTCGTTCTGCCAGCTCGAGGTTCATTCGTTCTTGGGCCTCTTGAATTGCAGCAGCTTTGATCCTCTGAGATTGGCCATGGCGTCCTCGAGCGAGTAGAAGACCTTGCATGACTCCATCCTCCAAGAAGGCTGCTTGCCAGCCTACTCGATCCCTGAAGCGAGACATGGCAACCAAGTTCGCCGCTGTGAAGGCTCCATTGGCTTGTCCTCGAAGAAGATGTCGAGAGCTCAAAGCGCTCCCATGAGTCATAGCTTCCGCTTGCAGCAGCCAATCCTTCACTGTGGCAACTGCTGGATAGGGATATGGCAAGTAGCGCAAGAAGGGGCGCTGCACCAACCACAAAAGCAAACCATGCCAGTGCCAGATGACCCGATCTACGAGTCGAAGAACAAATCTTCGCCATCGGTATGGAGCGAATGCCAGGTTGATGTTGTCCTTGTACTGGCGAATCAGTCCCGGTGTCAAGGGGACAAGTTCTTCGCTTTCCATCTCCTCGGGCTTCTTGGCACGGAGGTCCATCGCAAAGTTGAGGCTCACGTTCACGAACCATGAAAGCTTGATCGAATTGAGTCATTTCTGGAGCCGAAGGTGCCGTCATTGATGAAGTGCAAAAGCTCTCATGCCACGCACATGCTGCTGCCATGCTGGATTCGGTGAGCATGTGTTCATGACCTGTATTTGCATGACCATTGACACCTTCTACCAAACGACGTGAAAGCCAATCTTTGGGACTCAATTGAAGTTCAACGACATGATCCAAACCGCATTTTCTCCATCTCTGGGTTCCGAACTGAGGCCATTGCAGCGGCAGCAGAGGAAGCATGAAATGCCCGGCTGACATCTGCTGAAGCTTCAACCTGCCAAGTTGGATGTAGGTGAACTCAACGGTGCGGTCTGCAAAGTTGAGAACTGTTCCCAAAGAATCAAGAAAATCACGTCCGAGAAGACAGCCAAGCGATGCAATCGGCACCACTGAAATCCAAAGAAGTGCAACCCTTGAACTTGCCAAACAAATAGGGATACGCCAGCGCTTACTTGAGGGGGCTATACCACCATTACCAAACTTGAACTTCTCAAACTCATCCATGGAGGAAACCAAACATTGAATGGAGGGAGGTGCTGATTTGCGAAGCTGTTCAAGATACTGATCCAACCATTGCTGACCACAACATGTTCTATTGCAGGCTGAATCCAGGGCACCCACCAACATCTTCTCATCTGCCAACGCCTGAGCCGGCGGCGAAGATGCCAAACACTCATGCTGTGCTCGTGAAGCCATGCTTGCATCAAAAGCTTGCTGCAGTGTCATCATGCCCATGTGATTCACCATAGAAGCTTCATGAACTATCTTAGGGGCATCAGTTGAGGGGGTAGATGATGTTGAAGTCGGGATAGTGCCATCTGCAACATGATCAGCTTGAAGTGCTTCAGTCACCCGAACTTGGCGAGGAGCAACTTTTGCCTTCGCAGTCGGAAGTAACTTGCGCCCCAGGCCCGCGCCCGGTTTAGGGCACTCCCGGTCTCCGGCCCAGTGGCCATGTTGATTGCAATCGAAGCATGGGTGTCTACCTGATGCTTTTCGGGCCGCAGGGACATTGGCGCCTTTCAGGCTGCTCGAACTGGAACCACCAACTGCAAGCTTGTTGAAACCCCGATCTTTTCGAAGCTCTTGTAACTTGTTGCGAGCCTCCTTCATGGTAACAAGGGCCTCAGCGGCCTGTTCAAAGTCTGCCTCAACGCCGGCGATCAGGTCGGCATCGGCACCATGGTCTTCAGCTTCCTGAAGCTCCGTTGCTAAGCATTCTACCTCCGCCTGGAGGAAGGATTCCAAAGTAGGCTCATCTGCTGTTGGTTCATCGCCACCATTACCATCATCTGCCTCAACTTCAGCTGCAGTCTCGTCTTCTGGAACCTCAGCCAAAAGCACGCGGCGAGGGCCAGAAGCATTTGATGAAGAGCTCTTCCGAAACGTCGAAGCTGAAGAGAACATAGATGGGCTCCGGCTGATAGTTGAACCGGTTGATGAGCTTGTGGATGAAGGTGCCGCCTGAAACATTCGGCGAATTGTTAACTTCTGCTTGTCACCACCAAAGCCAGGCTTACTGCGATACAGTGGGTCTTGAAGGTGGAGCTCTTTGAAAAGACGAAGAATTTCGCTTTCTATCAAGTTGTACTCCTCCTTACCATTAAGTGCAGTCTCAAGCAACTGTTTCCTCAAAGGGTCCAGGCCAACCTTGCTTTTCATGAACCAGCCTAACTCAGAAGCTGGCAACACAACTCCTTCTGCTTGAAGATCTGCCACGGCCACACGAAAACGTGTGGCAAACTCAGAAACTCGCTCGCCAGGGCGCCTTTGCAGTTCGACATAGAACTGCTGACGCAACTCACCTCGCTTGTCAAGGACCGTCATGCCATTGATGTCCTCCAAGGCACGCAGCAGCTTATTCAGGCCATGCAGATAGTCAGGTTTCTCGATCTCAATGACTTCACCAGTTGTTGGATCCTTCGCTTCAACTGCTGGCTTAAACTCCAAGTCCTTAGGGTCAAATTCTTCGCCACGCTGGCGAACAATTCCAGTTTGTCGGAGAAGCCAACGTGCAGCCAAATTGTATCGAGCCGTCGATGGCAAGTCCAACGAGGCAAGCCACCATTTCATGGATCTCTGAAACTCTCGCCAGGTCAATGGACTGCCGTCCCAAACGGGGACTTGGTACCATGGCCCTGATTTTCCATCTTCAGTGCCGTTCCCAGTCATCGACATCGCAATGAACAAACTCCCTTAAGGATAAGCTCCAGGCAATGCAAATGAAGAGGTAGGACACCAAATTGACAAACAACCGCTTGCAACAACCAGTAGTTCAACCAGTCAATTGATGAAACAAGGAACCCAAAATCAAGCCAGATTAGTAGGATCCAAAGTCCAGCCAAAAGCCAATAGTGCCCAGAGTGCCGCGTGGCAAATGAAACACTTCCAGTCTTAAGCCAGGTTGCACAGGTTTATCGGGCGCTGCTCCAAAGGCCAAGGATGCTGCAACCAAATGCTCCGGTGCCACTGTGGAAATGAAGCCCTATTGCAGCGAACAAGCAAACGAAGCAACTCGGACTTTTTCCATTGGTGCGATAGCCACGGCTGAAGATCTGAGATTAGGGCATTGAGCCATATGCCCGCAGCCATTCGACTGCTGAATGTCACCAGTGTCACAACATCACTTTGTCAATGTTATAACCTCATAACAATATTATGAAATTGAAGATATAGAGGGGGATAAATCTGGGCATCCCCAATGCAGTAACAGTGAAGAAGATTGGGGAAGGACCCCCACAACGTTGTGTGCCCTCCATGTCACTAATAGTATTGCGCTGCGAATGTTGGTTTTCTACAAGTATGTTGCTAATCTAATCTTACTGTGTTGTGAATGCCTACTTGCACTTCTCCCTGTGTGTGCAGCGGCACCCTCGATTTTCTATAGAACCGATAGAGGCATGCAATGACTGTTCAAACCTCACAGCAGTTCTTGAGATACTCTCAATGAACAAAATATATCTGAAAAATCATCCAAGGATCGTCAAGGACCTTGTCCAGCGCGCCCGTTTGTTATGGTTGACTTTCTCAATTAGACTACAGTGTAGCTAGATTGGATTGTATAATATTGAAATATTATATATATATATGTAAATCATATACTGTACCTACACATACCATCCATTGCCATCCTATACCCTTTCAAATGGTTTGTAGTACAAGATCCCTTCTGGTGAACGTTTTTGACGCCGGGAACTGCGCCGTTCGCGTCGCCTTGATGGCATCAGGCTCCGAAAGCCTTGCCACCAGCTTCGGATTGCCCGTCTTGAATTCCTGCACCGCTGGTTGCCCAGTTCTGGGCCGCTGAGCTCACGAGATTTTCATGGCAGGGAAGGTATGATGATCAGTGATGATCCCTTAATGTGAATTCATACATGAAGCCAAGTTTGAACACCATGTGGCTTTTGCCGATGTGGCCACCACCAGGGTTTTGTTTGGGGGCGAGGGATTCCCAATCATGAAATATCATACCTGCCCTACCTCTTCAGCCGGTGTCCGTAAAAATCCACCAGTTGGTGGTCCTGCTTGAAAGGAGAAACCAGGCAGCAAACATACTTTAGAGCGACAAAGGTGAGTGCGCTCGTTGTTTCATCTTCATAGAATGTGCCCACAAGTGTTCGTTGTTGAATAACCTCACTTTGGCTGGTGATGGTTGGTACAGTTCATCCCCATGCCCCGCATGCAATCCAAATCTCCAACATTTAGACCAGCCAATTTTGGTTCAAGTTTTACACATGATAAATAGCTCAAATCATGTCAAATCCCCTAGTCTTTAGTAAATGACGGCGTCAAATCCCCAGAAAGATCTCCTGAATCACCTCTTCTTCGTCCAACAACGCCTGCGGAGAAAGATGGCTGAAAAATGGCTGGTCATCTTAATGATGGTTAATGATGGTTAATGATGGTTAATGATTGTTAATATCGATGGGGGTACCCCAATAGCTGGACGAGTATGAGACGATGGTTTTTTTGGGGTGAATCATTTTGAACCATACCCGAAGGACATGTCTTATGATGCCAGCAGGCCCATCTTTTTTCAGAGCACACCAGTGGTCACCAGTGGGCAACGGGAGATACTGAAGCGTCAGTGATGAAGGACCATTTCACGTCCATTGCGGTATTTCCACTAAAAAGATCTAAAAAGTGGAATCGGAACACAGCAGAAAACATAAAATTCTTTGTAACATTTTGTAACAAAGACGTTCTCGAGGTATAAGACATTATAAAACGCGTGCCAAATTGGTAGTTCACTATTCTTTGGTGTCAATCATTTACTTCGTTTGTTACCGGAGTATATCGCTCCAAGGAACTCTGCCGGGCAGAGGATGTAATCGCTAGCTGTGAAAAAACATTCACATTTTATGACACTTAAAACATCTTCAATCATCTTCAATCAACATGTTCTGTTTTCCTTCTAGTTTACTGTTTCTGGTATGTATTTAACTACGAAGATAGAGTGAATGTGTATTTTGACATGCTTTTCTTATTTTGAATACAGACAAAAAAAGGTCCCCAAATAATCCAAAATAGATATGTACCAAACCACAAATGGCGACATACCCGACAACAACGATTGGGTAGTTGAAGTTGGGTAAGTGGCTGGCGACCATGCTTCGACGCTAAGTTTCATCCCATTGCAGCAAATTTTGGCTTAAATTGTTCCCATTTCTCTGGTCGCGCCCATTTGATATGATTTGTTATGGATTGAATATAAATGGCTTAATTCTCGCACTATGAAAAGCGCCCAGCTTTTCTTAAAGTAATTGCTTAAACTGAATTGAGGATATTTAAAGATACTGTAAAAGTCTAATGTGAAAACGGCAGTTCCATACATGTCAGGCTCAGAACACATGCATCATTTCACCCAAAGATCCCTGGTGACCATCCGCAAAGAAGAGAACAGTCTTTCATTTATTTCATTTGAATATGTCCATCTGCTGTCCTTTTCGAGGGTTGTTTTTCAAAAACGTGACGCAAAAACATATGGACAGGACATTTCCACTAGAAGAGGGCTTGTCTCGAGATGAGGAACCCCAAAATGCCATGGTTTCCCATGATTCTCCACTGCAACAAACCCAAACATCATATTATTATGTATATTGTTGGCTAAATTCCAATATTTCCAAATCCCTAAACAATTCTAAGTATCAAAATGATATCATGTTACACCCCCATAAGATGCGCTATGTTAATGTTGGTGAAATATCCCCAAATATCCAATGAAGGGTTTTCGGCCTCCACACTGCATTTGGGCGTCTGCAGAAGCTTCTCCAAAGCAGAGGCCTGACCATCAAACCATCCCCTTTCATGGCACCGGTGTTTAACCAAATGTTGCCAAACCGAAAACGGGAAAAACGTCATGTTTGACCACCAGCTGGCTACAATTTACCTATAATGGGTTGCTGAAAATGGGGTCTTAAGCAAGAGACATAGCTATTTGGATCGCGGTTTAAGGTTCACCACACACCTTGGTCAACTCATAGTCAATTAGTCTATTTTTTATCGCCTCAAATGATAATAAGGACAACGAATGTAACTGACCGTTGGTACAATGTATTGTTCATCCGTTTGGATCGTCCTTTTGGATCAATCATCCGTTTGGAAAGTCATCTTGCGGGCGAGCCACAAGTCTTTCAACGTAACTGACAAACCCTCTTTCATTACAGTCATCACATGTTCCTCTATTCTAATTTTTCTGTTGTTGTTTTTTGATACTTGTAATCACTTGTAATCCAATTCTCTGTTTCTTTTCCTTCCTTGCACTGACAAGGACGAAGCCCAAGCTTGAAGAGATGTGCAGCGACGTTTGCCACTTCCCCGCAGGGAACCCGCCACAGTCAAGGACAGTTGAATGAAATTGCTGACTGGATTTGGTCCTGAAGTTACATATGGATACTTGAGAAGGGGTGACACGAAAGGTAGGTGCGTCGCAGGGGGACGCGGGTGACCTTTTTGTCCCACGCAAAACACAGCTGCAGCAGCAGGAGCCATGGGATAGCTCTCCAAGACCCGCAGCAGCTCTGGTCTGTGTGTAAAGGAGTCTGTGTGAAAAAGCTTCTGTGTGTAAAAGTGTCTGTGTGTAAAAGCTTCTGTGTGTGAAAGTGTTTGTGTGTAAAAGCTTCTGTGTGTAAAAATTTCTGTGTGTAAAAGCTTCTGTGTGTAAAAACTTCTGTGTGTAAAAGGGTCTGTGTATAAAAGTGTCTGTATGTAAAAGCGTCTGTGTGTAAAAGCGTCTGTGTGTAAAGGAGTCTGTGTGTAAAAGCCTCTGTGTGTAAAAGCTTCTGTGTGTAAAAGCTTCTCTGTGTAAAAACTTCTGTGTGTAAAAGCGTCCGTGTGTAAAAGGGTCTGTGTGTAAAAGGGTCTGTATGTAAAAGCGTCTGTGTGTAAAAGCGTCTGTGTTTAAAAGCTTCTGTGTGTAAATGTGTCTGTGTAAAAGCTTTTGTGTGTGAAAGTGTTTGTGTGTAAAAGCTTCTGTGTGTAAAAGTTTCTGTGTGTAAAAGCTTCTGTGTGTAAAACCTTCTGTGTGTAAAAGGGTCTGTGTATAAAAGTGTCTGTATGTAAAAGCGTCTGTGTGTAAAGGAGCCTGTGTGTAAAGGAGTCTGGGTGTAAAAGTGTCTGTGTGTAAAAGCGTCTGTGTGTAAAGGAGTCTGTGTGTAAAAGCTTCTGTGTTTAAAAGCTTCTGTGTGTAAAAGTGTCTGTGTGTAAAATGGTCCGTGTGTAAAAGTGTCTGTGTGTAAAAGCGTCTGTGTGTAAAGGAGTCTGTGTGTAAAAGTGTCTGTGTGTAAAAGCGTCTGTGTGTAAAGGAGTCTGTGTGTAAAAGCGTCTGTGTGTAAAAGCGTCTGTGTGCAAAAGCGTCTGTGTGTAAAAGCTTCTGTGTGTAAAAGCTTCTGTGTTTAAAAGCTTCTGTGTGTAAAAGTGTCTGTGTGTAAAATGGTCTGTGTGTAAAAGTGTCTGTGTGTAAAATGGTCTGTGTGTAAATGTGTCTGTGTGTAAAAGCGTCTGTGTGTAAAGGAGTCTGTGTGTAAAAGCGTCTGTGTGTAAAAGCGTCTGTGTGCAAAAGCGTCTGTGTGTAACAGCTTCTGTGTGTAAAAGCTTCTGTGTTTAAAAGCTTCTGTGTGTAAAAGTGTCTGTGCGTAAAAGCGTCTCTGTGTAAAGGAGTCTGTGTGTAAAAGTGTCTGTGTGTAAAAGCGTCTGTGTGTAAAGGAGTCTGTGTGTAAAAGTGTTTGTGTGTAAAAGCGTCTGTGTGTGCTTAGAGCGACAGGAAGGAACAAGTGAATAACATGAGGATGATGGGGAGGAGGAGGAGGATGATGATGAGGATGCTGAGGCTGATGATGAGGATGAGGATGAATATGATAGAAAGATGATAGGAGTAACATGACGATGATGATGAGGAGGATGATGATGATGATGGCAAGGATGTGGAGGACGAGGAGGATGCGAACGATGGGGACGAGGAGGATGCAAAGGATGATGATGATGATGATGCTGACGATGATGATGATGATGATGCTGCTGCTGAGGCTGAGGCTGATGATGAGGGGGGGGAGGGGGGGGTCCCTTTCTCCTGGTCGTTCAGGGATAAGGGGTCCAGCCCGCCCCTTTGCTTCGCAAAGTTTAACTCAAGGTAGCCCGCTTGGAGGCTACCTTTCGTGACATAATATGGATGCAACCGTTAGCCAAGGCTTATCAAGAGCTTATTGACTACCACAGTAAAAGTCACTAATAAAACTATGAAAATTACCATTGATAATGAAACCTTCAACTGCAACTAGTCCACGCCACATGAGGGCCTACACAATTTGAACGAAGTGCTTTCGACTATACATGGTTTGCTTTTCTTTCCGTCAAAACATGGGCACTTTCGGCACTGTTTTAATCAGAACGCGACAAACATCTTGCTCAATCATAATGTTTTTCAGAAACCGGAAACATCTGGTGATCTTGGGGCTCGGTGAGAGTCACGGGGCACATACTGTTCATATCATACACATGTATACGTATATCTACGTGATCCTGTGTACTGTGTACTAGCACAGAATTACATATGTGTAAAGCCTATCCTAACAAATCTCAATCATTTCCAAACGTGAAATACGATTAATGATACGGTTTTTATTATCCATTCCCTCAATGGATAAGTCTAGAAAGAACACACGATTTCCCAAACCAGATTTTAAAGGCCATTTGGGATCATTTGGAGATGATTTCCCCTACTAACCATCTATGGTAAAATGAGGTCGCACCCAGACTATCCCATCATACTCCTATTGAATCCGATCCCCATACCACCAATTTTGTTGGTTAAGTCAGTTAACTCACCATTTTTGTTGGTTGGGTCACCATGTTTTGTTGGTGTTAAACCATCGAAGTTTCTCGGAGCCGTTGCTGCCACCTCTGCACCGTTGCTGCCACCTCCAAAGGTGGCCCAGAAAGAGCCGCCGCCTTCCTCGGAACCCATCACCTGAATCTGGATGCGAAAAATGATGCCTCCCAACAAATCTCATCAGTGGGGATATTATATATATAATAATTATATATATATATATATTTAACTGGGGCTATAACTTCTATAGAAACCAGTGATGGGTCAAAACCCTGGTGCCCGGATGGTACGGTTAAATAGCTGGTTAATGGATGTTGACTGATCCATCCCCAAGTGTGTGGATGATCCCCAAATCAGCATGTTGCAACTGTCATCTTCTAGGTTGCCAAGAAACATATAGTTTAACAAGGCCCAAA